GACAATGAGGAATGAAGTCTTTACCTATTAGGAATCCTGAAACAATTTTCAATCGTTTTAAACAAATTGAACATGACGTAGAAGTAGATAACATGTAAAATATACTCACCTCTGATTTTCCCTCCAACTCTTCCTTTTCAATCTCTTTGATGATCACTTCATTTGACAAAATCTCTGATTCTAGTGGTTCCTTATCACCACCATCTTCTTTCTCGATGTTCCTTATGCATATAAAATGTTTTAGGACTAGTTTATCCAACAAAAGTCAAGAGAATATCCACAAATCCAAAAGAGAAAACTTTAGCAAAATGTTCAAAGTAAAATGTAAGGTGTGACTCACTTGTCCGTAGCTTGTTTCTTGCTCTCTGAACACTCAAATAGATTTTTCCGGACATCTCCATTTTCGTCCCTACTATCCATTTTCCTCTTTTTCTTTGTTAAAGTTGCATTCTGAGAGGGTGATGATTTGATCTCCCTGCCGTGTGCGAGACATGGAAGTTTATTGAAGTTTTAAAACAGAGAGCTTCAAGTTGTCATCATAAATCCATAATACGGAAATAAGTGCACTTTTGACAGTGAAATCAACTTTCTGAAGAACAAGAGTAACCTTTTCACTATGGCTGGATAAGCACACTTTACCAATTATTCAACAAAGGCGACTAGTTTCATTTGATGTCATAAACAAGAAAATTGTTCATTCCATGCTTTCAATTCAACGCAAGCATGGAATTGGTAGTGAGTAACTTACTTATCAGTAGCTGGCTTCTCATTCTGAAGATTTTCAGGCATATGTTTTTCCTCTCCGTCTTCTGAGTTAATTACAACTGAACTCTTTGAAAGAATTTCACAGCCTTTCTGAATTGGAGAAAGTTCAACATCACCCGATGATTTATCCTCCCTGGCATAATAAACATATTAGGTTTATCAAAAGGTTAAAAACTTATAAGATACAAACAATAACGCCGGTATGTAGCAGCTGAAACTTTCTTACCTTTTACCCATACTCATGTGGGTATGAGTTGTTGCCTCTGATGTCTTACAGTTGGCATTAGTCTCACTATTTTCCAGAGTCTTGTTGGTATGCCTTGTTGCTTCTGATGCCTTCTTCTTGTCAAAATTGGCATTAGTCTCACCATTTTCCAAATTCAAAGGAATCTCTGAAGAAAGGACTTTCGGGATCTTGTAGTCATTATCGTTGTTACATACTTGTATGGAATCATCATTGATAGAGTCCTCATTAGCTCTGGCTGAAGTTCCATCAGAGATGTTAAATAAGATACGAAATGGCATACTTCCATTATCATCAGTACTAGAGACGTGTGAACCGCGGCTATATGGATCACCGTCATTTATAAAACTATCGTTGTAATCATAATCATCACTGCTGGCTATCTCCGTGTCTGTGTAACTAATGTCTTCTCCATATGTCTCCCTTTTAAATTGAGTCAAGGATGCAAAAAAATAATCTATATGTAACCAGTAATCTATATGCACACTTCAGTCCAAAAATTGATAAGAGGATACGATTTATCATCATTTTGCTCAGAACCGGTACTCCTGTCAATGAAGTAGCCAGCAAGGTGAATGCTCCGAGGTCCAATGACGGAGAAGATAACTTCATCAGCTTCTTCAAACTCCAAATCAAGTTTACAGGAATCGACCTTGTCAGGAGTTAAGACACATAGGAGAATTGGACTTTTTTCCCCAACGTTGCACTGAAGAGTGCTCTTCCGTATAGCCTGACCAAACCCCAATGTGGCCTATACAAAAAAAAACAAAAGCAAGATGCATATCAGTGTCTCCTTACACTAATTTATGTCTATGTAAACTTGCAAGCTTATTTAATCAAGAGCATACATAAGAAACTAACCAGACAGAGAAGATAAAGGGTTCAAGGTACAAAATTCAGAGTGGAAACGAAAGATTAATAAAGACCTTGGAAATGTGAAGTCTTTTTATTCCTGATGCTTCAGAAGACTCAAGAGTGAAAGGCTTTCCTGGTTTCACTTCAACTCCTGCAAACACACAAACATTTGCATTAAAAATCAACTAGGTCGGAAAAATCATTCATAATAGTTTTGGATTTAGAAGGAAACAAACCCCAAAACGCCATGGAATTTGGTCAAAAGAAATGAAAGAAAGAGACGAAAAAAAGGAAAAACTCTCAAGCCAATACTTAGGGTTTCTTCTCAGTTATGTGACTGACTCTTCATATACGCGTGTTTATTTGCCGCCCTTATTATTTATGCTTCGATTGTAGAAAAATCAATTAAGAGATTTGACCTACACATCAATGCTTAAATTGATTCCAAAGTAAATATTATGTTTCTATATAGAGTCCAATTTTATTATGTTTTGAATTTATTATTTACTAAATGCGTATCACAATTTGACTTTTTATGGTTTAGGTTTTATAGAAACTGACTAAAATAAATTGTAATCCGAAAAGCTTTATCAAAACCCGAAAAATCCATTTTTTTTTATTATGCGTATAGAAAGTGATCTAATTTCAGTTTTTTATTGATTTCATCAATTTAATAAAAAAGTAGTTTCTAATATTCATTAAAAATTTATATATTTCCACTTCGGAATAATAAAATTTTCACATAAGAAAATAAATTTTATTTAGAATAATGAAAGATGTTAATGTAAATTTATATTGTTATGGGGATAAATTTAGTAGCACTCTAATGTAATTTAAAAAAAAAAAGAATTTTAAGGTTTTGTAAATGGGGTGCTTGATTAAATTTTATAGAGATACTAAAATGAGCACTCTCCATATATAGAGTACAACATCATGATCAATATTTTCCAAAAA